AAGTAGAGGAAATAGTTAAGCTTGTGTGATGCGGACAACAGATTTTCTTACTTTCACTAAGTCATATTTTTTCTCCCATTCACCCCTTTCTGACAGCGGGATATGAACCCGCAATCTTACATTGGAAATTGAATAGCTGCAACTTCGTTAATAGTTGTCCAAAATTAACGATTTTTATATAGTTTTTTAGTGTGAGCATTTTACTCAAAAGTCATCAGTGGCATCTGCGAGAGTCATAGAAATACTAAAAAAAGGGAAAAGTGACTCCTGGGAAAGTAAAAAATTGTTATTTGACTCCATGGTCTCATCAACATTGCTTTATGCTTCTGAAATATGGAGCCCAATTATCTTGATGTAATCGAAACGGTCCAACTTAAATATTTAAAGCAACTGTTTGGTTGGCCCAGAAATACTCCAAACTACATAGTCCGCCTCGAAACAGGAAGAGAATCATTAAGCATGAAAGCGATAAAAAAGATGATAAATCTATGGACCAAGCTCGAGTTCATGCCAGAAGAGCGACTCCCAAAACTTTGTTTTAACAGACTTAAATCTTTAGATAAGGATAAGCCTGACATAGACTTCAATTGGGTGTCTCAATTTAGAGTAATAGCCGAGCTTAATGCCTTTGCAGAAGAGCTTTCTGTTCACCACACAAACGGACTTCTTCGATACAAAGACGACATCCTTGAAAAAGCACAGAACTATTATTTCTCAGCCGACATTCAAAGAACTTTAAACTCCACTAACTACCCTTTATACGGAATGTTATGCAGTTATAATGCTCCCGAGCCCGAAGCGTACCTTACATTTAAAGTTCATATAAAGAAATTGAGATGTGTTAGTCAATTAAGAGTTGCAAATCCAGAACAAATCAGAATTTATGCAAAAACCACAATTTTTTCGATTGAGTCTCAAGAAATTTGTATATTATGCAGTCAATTTATCCACAATAGTCTACATCACATTCTCCTTCACTGCCCAGTATACAATGAATATAGACAAAAATTCCTCCATAACTTCATCTCAGAATCTTCTGATAACCACAACATCGAAACCATATTGAATATCGACTGTATAGATAAAGTAAACAAAGTTTACTATTATATGATGGGAGTACAAAAAGTACATTCACAAAATTGTTGATCATAGCCCGTTATATTAAGTGTTTGTTTTTAGTTTATGTTAAAAGTAATATTTTGTTTGTATATATACATATTTTTATTTTTTATTGTTCTACCATAGTAACAGGTTTATTTAATTATCATGCAGTAATCGTTTTATGTTTTTAACTTTTATTGTTTTTCGCGCTTTGTAAAACCCATTATAAACGGAAAATATTGTAAAGTTTATTTATACTTAAATGATATGTAATGGTATGTAAATTTGTAAAACCATATTGTAAAATGATATGTAATATCTATCTATCTATCTATCTATCTGTATAGTTTTTTTAAGGAATTTCATTACCTTTCAAAAAACTAAGGGGGCTATGAAACGTATAGATCCGTCGAAAACCGCATATCGGAAATTTGACCCGATTGCAATACTTTCCTTACCTAGTATAGGTAGGAAAGTAAATACTTGGTTAAATCGATAACACATGTAAACAACTGCTAAGGAATTAGGTAATATAAACATGTAAACGCATTAAATTTCGGTATCGCCAATAAATAGGCAGTAAATAATGTAATGTAGCTCATATTTGCCAGTCCTTGAAGGTGCGATATTGGTAACGTCGCGATAAGAATATCTTATCACGAGATAATAAACAAACTGTAGCGTGACGGTTGAGCGAGAAGCCCTTTTGCCAAAGTTTATTTTCATTGATGGGGCGTGCTAAGGTTGCACTCCTGTCAAGGTCCAACGGCTATGCCAACATTCCGCTCTTGGTGCAAGGATAAGCCGAGCCAACTGTTTATCTTAGTCGAAAGGTCTGTCTGGTATTCGTCTGCACAAAACAAACAGGGTTTTTTTCTCCTCTCCTTAATAAGCTACGCAATGCACTATAATTAAACGCTACCTCTATTGTCTTGAAAGTACGCTTGATAACGTTTTACCAACATTGGCAAAGGTAAAGTCGGTCTCAAAAACCATATATGCATAAAAAAATCTGTACAAGAACCTCAGCAACGTAAAGCTATTACAAAAGAAAATTGACTCTCCTGAAGATCCAATTTACTGACTACTGACCACTATCAGTTTATTAACAAGGACTCGTTACTAGCTATTTCAAAGTAATTTACACGGACACAAAATCACACTAATAACAGATATAGCTACAGCTGACAAGTCTAAGAATACTTGGAGGAAACTAAAAAGGCTCTGGATGAAAGAACTTTTTTAACTAATCAGTGTAACTGGATGAAACCAGAGAAGAAGAACTGATGAGTACATCCTTTGCGCATGTCTGAAATTGACATTATTTTCATTATAGTCCATTAGTTCACTATCAAAAACTTGTTGACAGGCACCAATAGGCCTTCTTCAGGCCGCGGTGCACTCTTTATGTCGGAAAAAAACGAAAATAGCAAAAACAAAAAAAAAAAAAAAAATTCATAACTTAAAATAATTTCGGGTACTTTCCTTTTAAGAGGAGAGGAGAGAGGGTTCAATTATTTCAGTTGCTTACAATAATATAAGAAATAATTATTTTATTATATCTTATTAACTGTTTCATTTTGGTGGGCGGGGTGGGCGAATGGGCTAAAGCGTGTGCACTGCACCGCCGTTGCCTGATTTATGACTCAATGATACAAAAATAGTCACGAGTTCGCGTCCCGGTGCCGGGGGAGTCTTTTAAATCCCCGCTCACACTCCCTGGCCCGGGAAAAACCTGTATAGCCTTAACGGCGAGGAAAAGAGGAACCCCCACCAAAAAAAAAACTGCTTCATATTCAGTGTATTCCTAAACTTTATCACAACAATAGAACGTGAGGGCTTTGTTTACTTTCGAAGAAATATGCGGAACTAAAGAATACTGGCCTCCACTAGAAATAAACTGTTGATGTAATTATAAACCAATTTTAATATATCAATTAATTTATAAGGTAATAATGGGTGATAACCAAATATATGAAAGAGCCACTTCCCCCGTTAAAGAAAAAGTACCGAATTTCGTCATTCTACATGTTTAAATTAATTGAAATTTAAAATAATTGGAGTGTTGTCCGTCTACCACAAACACAGCCCAATTTTAACTTAAAACGGAAAAACTATTATTACTATCCTGTTTTCACCATTATAGCTGCGAATGGAGAAAAAATTATATACGAAGTTGGTTATAAAGAGACTTTAAAAAACGGAAAACATTTTACTATCTCACCAATATTTTATGAAGGGAACCATTATTAACCTCACACTTAAAAACTTTAAAAAGTTTGTTTACTTCAAAAAATTCAATAAATCACTCAAATAATAATTATATTATATTATAATAATGAACTGATGGTTGGAATACTAATTTATGTATGGCGCTCTTATCTTCGAACCCTTCAACTTTTCATCCGCATAAGCCTTTGATAATAAATATCATATATCATATGTATGTAACTAAGCAATCAAACAGAGTAAGTTTTTTTACATTAACTATTACAAGTGACAAATGTTCTTTTAACACGCCATTTTCCCCCCGGCAAAGTACCTACCTTACTTTTCTCTTCTACCTAAATATAAGAATAATGAGAATAAGCTTATCAGGAGACTTCGATATCCTTATTAGAGACAGATAGGAATCAGCTGATACCAGCGAAGTCGTGATAAACTGGTGATCTCTGTAGGAGGAAGAATACACTAACCTTGATTATTATTTATTATTTATTTAAGAGAAATGGTCAAAGCCTTCAAACGAATTTTATTATGATAGCTCTCCTCAGGTTTTCCTCGTCTAGTTTATTGTTTACTCATAAATGGCTGGCAAGGCCGTTAAATATTAAACTGAATGTAGGCATATTTCAATAAAAAGATGTGATGTTATATAATAAAATCACGAATAAAAAATAAGTATATATAATAAAACAACATAAATATATATATATATATATATATATATATATATATATATATATATATATATATATATATATATACATAACATCCATTCGCTTTTAATTTAAATAAAAATTGGTACCGACATTAGGGTTATTTCATGTCAAATCACTCAAGGAAGAATAAATTTTGAACCTGCATGAACGTTCTGTATACATGTCGTTTTTTGTAAGATTAGTTTGACAACAAAATATATGACAAAACCTATTTTTTTAAATATTTTTCCTTGAGTGGCTTTTTTAAATATTAATTTTAAAAAAAAAAACGAACTTCACCACATCTATATCTTTGTTTTTTTCACAAAAATGTTGGTGTATGCACAACCAATGATAATATAGGGATTCTATTAAAAAGCTTATCGCGACCTTCATTTGAAATAACATAACCATCTCAAAACAATAATATTTGAAAAAAAAAATCACCTTAATTTTTTTAAAATTCAAATATGTGTTAATTGGATAAATATTGTTAAGATTCATTATAAATTTTAAGATAGAGAAATTGATATCCACTAAATTATGTATAAACATCCATTGTTCTTGAAAACATTTATTTAATAATGTGACATTAAGTATTTTACAAAAGTTTAGTATAAGTGACAAGATAACTTCATTCCAATAATTTCTCTGCTAGTTGGTACTTAAAAACTAAGTTGCATCCAGAAGCAATAACATCGTTAATATAATTTTTTATTTATTTCTTGTATCTTCGGTGGTGAAATAAATAACAAGCAGTTTTTATTACAAGTTTTATTGAAATAGCTAAATATGAAAATATATTCGATAAAAGTAGTTATTTTGTATAAATAATAAACTAATTTTTATTAAATCTGAGACATAGAGGTCAAGGCCTCTCGTTATTCCAAATGGATCGATCTTTCGAGGAAACTGACACAAATAAATATTTAGCTCTGTAAAATAAAAGTATTTTGTAAAAAATTTTCGAAATTAGGAGAAAAATGTTAAATATTCAACTCAAAGAACATAAAATTGACCATATCAAGTGGAACATATGTTTAAAATCAAATCCTAATGAACTAACTATAATATAAAAGTAGAGTATTAGTAAATTACAAATCTGTTTCAATGGCAACAGAGACAAGTGAAGGCGACATGCAGTCATCAGATGAAGCGAAATCAGAAGAGAGAAAGACGTCAGCTCCGGATGACAAGCAGGAACAGTCCTCGACAATGAAAGAGGAAACCTTCGCGGAACCTAACGAAAAAACTACTCCGAACAAAGAAAGTTCACAGAAAAAATCAGAAGGAAGAAAACATCTGTTGAAGATGGTTTCGTCCATCGGAGAAAAAGAAGGTAAGGACAGTGCATGATAAGATATAATTATCATATTTAGCTCTAATATTATAATTACAACATAAGTTCATTAGTGCTGTAATGATTATAGCAAAGTTTTTAATGATATGAGAATTTATAGAGATGACGTCTCATAACGTTCAATAATAACTAGAAATAATAATGGTGTTGTCTTTTTTAGCTAATAGCATTGTAGTTTTGTCTTATAAACATATGACTTGGGACAAAATAACTTCAGCTAAATGTGTAGTGAGTATACACTATTGTGTAAACATAAGAAAATCTTATCTATCCAACAATATTATCATGGTCACATTTCTAACAGCTATTTGATCAACGCGGCTGGAAGTTTCTTGCATTGAACATTTAGAAATGTTCCTAAAAGATCTTTCTATTCTCTGAAAGTAACATTTTTTTTCTCTAGATACCACAGACGGATTTACGGTGAGTGGCTTTCGGGCTGAAGCCCTCCAAAATGGTAAAATGTAAAAATGTCTTATGGTAAAAAATGTTAAAAAATTATGTCTTAAAGTATTATTGCTCGTTTAATTACATTTAATAGGACTTAAAGAATCACTTAAACACCATTTCATATAGGTAGTTAGTATCTTTCTGTTTTTCTAAAGTAATTATCTTTATATATAAGAAAAAAAAAGCTTCCGGGCTGAAGCCCCGCTAGTGCTAGATACCACTACCTTGCCATTTTTAGCATGCAAGGGAATTCAAGAGGTACCAACAAGCTTATTCTAACCAGAGAGGGAAAGTCGAGATTCCAGTCCGTGGGTCCGCCATTTTTTAACCCGCCCAGACCAGATTCGAACAAGCGTCGTCAGACTTCAAATTGTTAACGTTTACGCTTTACCACGCTTGGCCATCACGACCTCACACTGCTACCAACCATTCCTAAAATGTATGTATTGTTATATTGTTAGGAGTGCAGCAGGAAACAATGCTACAAGTTTAGTAACAACTTGAAACTATTTGCCTTTCCATGGATTCTTTTTTTTGTCTCCCCGGTACTTGGATTTAAAGGAGTCTTAAATGTGTCGCGGTGCAGATTATAAGGGTCTTTGCCTTTTATGATTTTTATGATCTTTCCTTTGCCCAAGTTTCGTTATTTCGTTTTCATGCACATGGACAATGCATACTTGAGAGGCATAGGTTTTATATGAAGCACATTAAGTTATACTGAAGAGCTTTCTCAAATATTCAAACGCCTAAACTCCTAATATAGAACCGATTTGCTCACTCCTTGTCCTTTAAGTTATATTTGGTAATCCAATGTCGACCACAGCTGTATGGAAACCATAACGCAGCAACTTATAGCACGACCAATCCTAGGATGTAATTAAAAAACACGACAGTATTCTGATTGTCTGAAACTCCTCCCTTAACTTCTTATGCACGCTCAAAAAGTCTACTAAAAGCACATCCCACACGTCGCCTGAAAAGCACTAACAAAGTTTGAACTTTATTGGACCGGAGAGAAGAGTTTGAATTATCTGTGGTAAACTTTCTTAATAACTTGACCGACGGGAATATTGGCAAGGCAGAGTTCTCCCTTTTACGAGCACATCCATCTTCAGCGAGGGAGAAGGCTTCTGTCGCTCTACGGGAAAATTAAAAGACCCTGTCTCTGTCACACAGAGTGGGCTATCAATTAGCTAAATGTTTAATTTATAAACGCCAAAAATATAAACAACAAATAACGTTAGCAAATAAATAAACTGTTAACATGTAAAAGATATTTCAAACTTAAAAATGTAACTACTTAAGCAATAAGAAAAATTATATTCGATGAAAATGAAAATTAGAAAGGTAGTTAAGTTTTCTTAGCTAACTCATTTAAATTCGTTTAAACAGGATGCAATATGGAATCAATTAATATTTACGTGCATGCATAAGGAATTAAAGGCCAAGATATTGGCGAATGGTACTTCTAATTAACCGAATTTAACATTTTATTTTAGCTAAAATAATAAGGCATAATATCATTTGAATATTCTGATCCTCAAAGAGACGCGAAAAGTCGTACAAATAATAAACAAGAGTTATAGATTATGATTAGTAAAAATGCGGGAGCCTTCCTACTATGGGATCAAAGATCAGTTTTAAAGCTAATTAAAGTAAAATGGATGATGGGAATTGAACTAGGGGCATCAACGACATATTCAATATAATCTACCATTCATGTTTAGAAATAGGAGAACTACCATTCCCGCCTAATGGGTCTGATAATGATAGCGTTCAATATGGTTCTTAATTCTGTTTATCAGAACAGATAAACATCGTTCACTTGATTATCTCGATAATAAGAACAAAAACTACTTAAAAAGCACCTTCATGCTTTAGAGCTAACATCCCATTATTGATCGACTAATATAGATCGACATCATTAGCAATAATCAATTAAATAAAAAAAAAAACTATTAATAGGTTTCGTTATGATATTTCTAATCGTTAGTACCCTTCGTGAGAATAGACCTATCAAAAAAAGAATTACTGGCGAAGTCATTACGATGATAAATCCATCAATTTACCGTAAACTTCAGTAAAAGATATGTAAAGCATTCAGATAATAGTATTCAAATAGATGACAAAAAGGATAAAAGTGATGCGAATAAATATTAGCAGGAATAAGATTTGTTGAATATCACATGATCCGGAATGAGAAAAAAAAACAATAATAACTGTTCCAGAAATGATTTCACGAATGATTGAGATGATTCCCGCCAGAGAGAGGCGGGGATATAATCCTTCCAATTATAACTGCAATCAATAGAGGCCACCATTAAGCTAATGGGCGGGCCTCGGTTTCCTGTGGATTGCATGGCACAGGTACATACCGGATAATGGGCATGGGGTGACTGTTTCTGAGCATAATGTTTAGGAACGTGTGGGTTTGATTGGATCGGTTAATTTTCCGTTTCGACGCGGTCTCTCAAAGTTAATCTTGACACTTCGATTTTGATTTAGATGGGGGAAGGCGGGAAGGGACAACAGCTGAGGCCGATTTATACGATTGCTGTGACAGTGTTGCTCGGATAAACTCTGTACCGGTACAAATAATTTGAATATGTTTTAACAAACTATATGAGCGCCCTTGTGTTTAGAGAACGTACTATTGTTCAAACAAACTTCCAGCATTGAAGATGACACTCCATACTACAATCGGAGGTTCGTTTTCAAAACGCTACAACTGTGTGATAATTGACTTTTTTATTTATTTTTTTTTTATTTTCATTCTCCCTTCTTTTTAATATCAGTTCATCTACGGATTGGAACAGTGTGGAACAGCAAAACTTTTTAATATCAAACGCATCCATTCGTTTCAGTCCTGAGACCTTCGAACAATATTTGATACTCCATTATATGTAAACAACAAAACCCTACACCATGCCCTTAATTTCCCATTCATCCTAGACCATATCCCAGAAATATTCCCCGACCCTCACATATCATCCAAATCCTATTGCACAAATCCCTATCAAGCTCCAATTATTTTTTTTTTTTTTTTCGTCCATCCCTTCCCTACCTTTTAGGCTATAGGGGAATTTCCCGGGCCAGGGGAGATAAAACTAGTCTCATAATTTTATAACTGTTGATAAAGCACCAGTACTGTCATACCAAGCATTAAAATTAAATCTTTCAAGAATTTTATGTATTCAAATCTCAAAAAAAAAATTCTAATGCTCCAAATATTTTTCAATTTAATCAATTTAGATTTAACCACACCTAACTCCAAGTTCAATTCCATTCTGATGATATTTTAACTTCGATTCATTTCACTATTATCTCCATTTTATAAATATTATTTTAAAACATGAAATAAAAGAAACAAATATTAGGATTCTGAATGTGAATATCCAGTATAGACCGAAGAAAGATTAACGAGTGACTATTTTTAGATGTTATTCTTGAAAGGAATTTGGCAATATTAGTGAAATGTAACACGTTGAACTCATCTCTAGACTGAAAAGGCCTGTTTAATCAGTTGTGCTGACCTGCTTGTCAGCCTACAGTATTAATTTATATCACTACTCAGTCATCAAATGGAGATTGAGTGAACTCCTATCCAGAAAAGACATTAAGAGGCCGTTAAAAGCTACACTTAAACCTCCCTATATTAACTTTCGAAATTTCCGCGAATAGAACATCTGAAGATAATATGCATTGTTATGCTAAGATTCAGCATGCTAAATATGAAGTATCATGAAATACAGCTTACTTAATTCAATAATGACATTCTTTAATGACTTTCTTGAGTCTTTAATATGACCTCTTCTTTAGAGCAGTCAGCCGTAAAATTTCAATTTTAAGACGAATATTAGAAAAATTCTACTTCTCGTCATTATCGACAATGAATCTTGGAAGTTTATTAAATGTCATAATAATATAAGAGAACTGATCCTCGTCCGTCCTTACGCGATACAAAGACAAACCGATAGGAACTAAAGAGTTCCAAGTTAAACCTAGCCGCTTAGGGCCTGAATTTTATAAATTTATTCGGCAAGCCAAGAGAATCCTGACTTGCCAAGCAACCAGACCGGTTGTAGCATCCGCTAGGGTGCCGGGCAGCAACCTGATTAGAACAAAAAACACGGGTCATATAATTAGCGGCAAACAGAAATCGTTACAAAACAGAAAAACACTTGCTCTCCAGTCTGATATAAGAATGATTTAAATATTAAAACAAACAAAAGGTATAGTGTTTTATTCATGAAAAGTACCCCATGTAGCATAATGTTATCGCATCAATAACTTTTGAATTGTTTTCATTTATTCGATTTAAGATCAAACAGAACTTACTCCTGAATCCTCTCACCTATATATTGGACTACCATTATCGTCGGTGTTAATTTAAGTAACTCTTTAGGTTTTTGTACATTTTTAGGTATCCCGAAAGCAATCAGAAACAGTAATTTCACAACTAAGATAATATTATAACAAGCATTAAACGACAATAATTTCTAGTTTCAAATTAAAATAACTTTTTAACA